CCCCAGCCACTGGGGTGGGGCTAGGAGCTGAGCAAGGCTACTGCAGCCTGCAGGGAGCCCCCCAGCCCGCACCTACCCGCTCCCTCCGCTCCTTGCTCCCCAAGCCTAGTCGTGCCCATGCAGCCCTTTCCTCCCCTGCGTGTGCATGGCACCTGCAAGCTCCCGCAAGCCCAAGCGCCCTGGTGCACAGCACCGCTGAGCCTCCCTCTGCCACACAGCCCCATTTTCCTCCCCTCCCTCCCCACACTCATGCTCCATTTTCTAGCAGCATCCCCAGTGCCCTGGCCCTCATAGTGCAGACGGTGGCCGCTGCTGGGAGGGGGGTGGTTATTGACTCCCAATTGAGGTCGGATCCTCCCCAGTAGCTCTGCAGTGAAGACTGGGAAGCAGGCTGGATCCTTACTTGCTCCGTGGCTTTGCAGGGTCAGGAGCGGAGACCCGCAGGGGTTGCCACAGCTCGGGAATTGTTTGCGTGCGTCAGGGCCAGGAGGTGTCAGAGGAAGACTGGTTTTCCTAGGGTTCAGGCAGACACAGGGCCTTCTCCGTGGAAAGCGGGTGCGTCAGCACCTCCTGGTCCCTGCGCTGAGCGAACGGCTCAGCTATCGCCTCCCTGGCTCCAGGGCTGGCTGGGGGCTGGATCTGCCTGCATTCTTCCCCCGCACCTGGCACCAGGGGTGCAGCATCACATGTGCTCCCCCCTGCCGCAGCAGGCCCCGGCTGGCAGGGGTGGATGTGCCCTCCTCTGCCCCAGCCCCTCCAGCATCCCTTGCTACCCAGGCTGCAGACAGAGCCCTGCTGCCCGTGCCCCCACCCCATCCCTGTGGCCTGAGGAGGTTACTGGACGCTCCCTACCCAAACCAGTTCCCCCTGGCAGCACACAGGGCTCTTGGGTTCGAAGCACCTGCAGTTAGGTTTTGCTGCGCAGACACTTCGCCATGCTGCTGACTGCGGCTGATTTGTTCCCCACGTGCAGCTGCAGCTGCAACCAGGGTCTGTGTGGTGCAATGGTGAGGCATCAGCCTGGTACCCACCCACATCACCCCAGCACGGCCGGGGACCAGCTGGAGACCTCTCCCCTCCAAACTCCAGTCACCTGTCCCCACCAGGCAAAGGTCAGCAGATCTAGGCCTGGCCCCAGGATGTGCTGGACCCCTGCCCTGGCTGGCTCCCGCCCTGGCTGTCCTCCCCCTCCCTGCTGAGACCCATGTCAGCCCCACTTCCTGCATCCTCTGAATCATCCTGGCCCAGCCTGCCTGGATGTGGCCAGCTCCCCCATGGCAGGGGCAGGATGGTTTGTGCCAAGTCTCAGGGAGGGAATAGAAAGGGGAGGCTTGTGCTGCCCATGCCTGCAGCTCACCCAGCACAGCCCCTGCTTCCCCTTGTTTCTCAGAACCAGGGTCGGGGTCTGCATGGGCCAGCAGTGCAAGGACTGTCAGGGCTGGGCAGCCTACTCGTGCTGCCTTTAATGAGCAGCAGATGGGCAGCCTCTCCTGCCTTCCAGCCTTGTGATCCTTTAATGCAGAGCTCATGGGGCTCAGGCAGGCCAGCTGCACCCCTGACTCCTGCCTGCTTCCAGGAAGCCCAGTCCTGCCCCTCCGTGTCCGTGGAGGGCTGTGTGCATGCCCGCTGCGGCTCAGGTATGCCCTGGGAGTACACATGCCTCTCTCAGTGCTCAGCAGAGGGGGTGTTCATCTGGGCCCGGGGGTCCGTGGTGGGTTTTCTGTGTCCAGCTGTGTCTGTCCCTGCGTGAGTAGGCGTGCACATGCTTGCACATGGATGTGTGTGCGCCTCCCCCCTCCCTCGGTGTGCATGAGGGGGGTCTGTCGTGTCTCTTCCCAGCCTGCCCCTGCCCTGTAGCTCACCAGCGCTCTCTTGCTTCTGCCCAGGCCCTGATCCCAGACTCGAGCTGCTGACACCCGTGGGCTGCACCAGTGGGAAGATGAATCCCACCCTCAGCATCGCTGTGCTCCTGGCAGGTAGGGCTGCAGGGGTGGGCACAGATGCCATCTAGTGGCCACTGCCCGTAGATGCAGAGCAACCACAGCTGCAAACAGCTGCTTTGCCCTGGAGCCAGGGGATCCCGGGTCCTTTCAGATGGTCCCAAATGGCCCTGGGGAAGGGCTACCTCTGTGCAGCTGCCAAGAGGCTGGAGGCCTCAGTTACAGAAGGGGTTGCAGGATTTTGCAGCACCCCAGCCACTACACACGGCTTCCCCAGGGCCCATCTAGCCCCACTCTCTGCATGCTCTGCAGGCTTGGCAAGGGACCAGGATGCCTCTGGGTTATCCCTGCCCCACTGGGAAGAGCGAATGCTCCTGGGCCCCTGCCTGGGTGCAGGGAAAGCTGCAGATTTCCTGTTTCAGGTGTTGTCGTGACCTCCCAGTGGAGCATGGGGGGGAGGATAAAAGCCAAGCTACTGCTGCCAGCTCAGAAAGAGCCCCTCCCTGCTAGTGCAGGGCACAGCATGTGCCTCTGTGGGGTGGGAGGTCCTGGCTTCTCCAGCCCTGGCATGACCCACATGCCTGTCCCAGTGCTCCAGGCTGCCCAATGCCAGACAATCAGGGACCTGAGCGCCTGCCTGCTGGGCCAGAGCCTGCGGGTGGACTGCCACTTCGAGAACAAGACCAGCAACCCCCTGACCTACGAGTTCAGCATCATCCGGGACACCCGCAAGCGCGTGATCAACAGCAACATGAACATCCCGGAGAGCACCTACCGGGCCCGCTCCAACATCACCCTGCACCGGAACCTGATCCACCTCTACCTGTCCAGCTTCACCACCAGCGACGAGGGCCTCTACATCTGCGAGCTGAAGGCCACCAATGACTACACTGGCCACCAGGTCAAGAACATCACCGTCATCAAAGGTGAGTGGGGTGGGGGCCAGGTCTCTGCTCCTTCCTCTGCTGCTGCCCCCCGAGCACCAGGTGGGAACCGAGAGAGCCGTTTCCACCTGTGCATGGCCCATATGTGGAGCGAGTTTGCTGGATCTCAGCCTGAGTCCTGGGGAAGGACTGAAGGCCCCTTGCAAGCCAGGATCAGCAGAAGGGGCCCAGCCCTGTGTGGTTGCAGACCCTGAGACGCATCTAGTGGGAACCTGTGAGCTTGCCTTGGCACCGCCCTGGCTGTACCTGCTCCCGCGGGGCAGGACTTCAGCCTGCAGGGCTGCCCATCTGGGACTCGCCTCTCTGTCTGTGCTCCATCTGGGAAGGGATCTTCCAACCCCAGAGCCCAGCAGCCTCCCTGTATCCCTGGGGCCCAGTATCTCCCCTCCTGGGGTCCCCAAGGGATGGAGTTGTGTAACACAGTCGGCAGCACCTGCCAGTGCTGGCAACAGTCAGGCAAGAAATGAGGCAGGTGGTCTGCTGGCTCAGTCACAAGGTACTGAGGTCCTGGGCGAGACCAGGGCCCTGCTGTGCCAGGTGTGGCAGACACTGGGGGATGGGACTTGCCCAGGGACATGGGACTGAGCAGTGGCAGAGGACAGCCTGCGTCCTCCAGCTCCCGGCAGGGCTCTCACTCTCCCTCTCCCCCGCTGCCCCGCACCCTCCCTCCGCAGACAAGCTGGAGAAGTGCGCCGGCATCAGCCTCCTGATCCAGAACACCTCGTGGCTGCTGCTCCTGCTCCTGTCCCTGCCGCTGCTGCAAGCCCTGGATTTCGTGTCCCTGTGAGGGCAGTGCCCTGCCGCCAGGCCGCGGCCCTTGGACCGAGGAAGGAGGCAAACGCTTTGAACACACGCACTATATCCCTCTATCTATCTATAGCCGTATACCTGCCGCTGCCACGCTGCCCCCCCACCCCCCGTCATCGTGCCCCACACCCGCTGGGGGGGTCCCCGTAGTATGCCAGGGCCCCGCGCATGGCGCCATTCCCTCACGTTCTGCTAGGCAGTGCTGCTTCTTCCATCGCGATTTTGTTTGCCCGTCCCTCTATCCGTCCGTCTGCCTGTCTAGCGGGGTCGGGGGGGGGCAGCTTTTTCTTGTTTATTTTGTTCTGTCGAGCAGGGAAAGCGCGGAAGGCCAGCAGGCCCGGGAGGGAGCCGGGGGAGATGCAGATGGGGTGCTTGGGTCATGCCCAAGCGATAAGGGCTAGCCTGCCAGGCCCAGGGGTGTCGGGGGGGGTTCACCACCTGCCGGGGCCACGGGTGCGGTGAAGTGGGTGGGTTCTCAGCCCTGTCTTTTGCACTGCACAACGCTGAGGATCAACTGGTGTTGTCTGCCTGGGAGAGGCCTGGGGGGAGCAGTTTTGGGGAAGTATGAGCAAAGAAGGGGGCCTGGCCAGAGTAAGGCGGGGGGAAGGGCACAGCTCAGACCTGGAGAGGGACCCATGCCTCCAGCCCTCGGTCAAGGGGGGGTATGGAGGCTGCTCCAGGAGCTGGGCGGGGGGTGGGGCAGGGCGGATAGATACTTTTTTTTCTTGGATTGAGTGGAACATGAGGGGCAGGGACAGCCGGGTCCAGGCTAGACGATATCCCGAGCCCTGAGCTCCCCACCGTGCCCTGGAATCCAGTCCTTAGCTGTGACGAGAGAGAGCTGCTGCAGAGAGACCCCTCTCTGAGCTAGAGACACCCCCTCCCTGGCCACAGCCCCCCAAAAGTGGGGCAGGGCAAGCCAGCAGGCTCCTTGCCCCTCAGCGGGCTGGGGACGCCCATGCTCGCACCCCTCCCATCTCCCGGAGCTGGAGCTTGTTCTGTCCCCGGATGCAGGAATAAGAGCAGGGCCAAGCTGCCCACCCCAGGCCAAGGCACCGATGCCCTGGGGGTCTCTGTAGGTGG